GGGGACACCAAAGGTGTTCTAATCGCAAAGAGCAAGAGAGAAAGAGGGACGTCGTCCCACTGGCCCCCTATACGCTACGCCACTGGTAATATCGAGGCCATATCCTGTTTCTTTTTACAAAACTCATAACTCGGTCTGATAAAAACGTTTCCAATGTTAAAATGACGATACTTATAAAACACCCCGTATAAGAGCACTTCATTTCAAATACCATCCCATCTTTATGGAATTTTTTGTGTGTTATTAAATATATAGTAATTAATTAATTATTCAATTAATTAATTCTGTTTTAATGGGCTAGTCATCGTGGGTGATCAAATGCTTATCTACATAGAGAGGTCTTTGACTGTTAAAAAATAAATATCTGAAATGCCTTATAAATACACGAAAAATGAATAATAAGGTGTACGGATACGTGTGCGGTATACATTTTTAATAAAGTTGACGGATATGATACTACAGTCATCCAGAAAAGTACTGGTAACTCCTTGATTTGAATGAATGAATGAATGAATGAATGAATGAAAAATATTATGAATTAGAAAATCCTTGTTGGAAATATGAATGGGTGAATTACGTCTACGTAAAATACTTAAATTTATAGTTATTTAGGTCGTTCCTCTATTTTTCTTATTTTCTTAGCGGTTTTTCGAATGCAAGATTGTTTTTATAAAATTGTCTAGTCTTTACAAAAAGGCAATCGCAATATTTTAATAAAAAATCTAATCTTTACATACATGCAATCACAAAACAATTTGTAAGGGTTTTTGGCATAATGACTTAAAGCGGTATTTGCCGCGCGGTTATTTTCATAAAGAAATAATCTTTAAATCATTACAATCTCAGATCAATTTAATGAGAATTTTTTGAGAAAATGATTCTAGACGATTTTTTACCGCTAGGGTTTTATCAAAAAAAATTATCTAATCTTTACACACAAGTAAATCCTAATTGCAGAGCAATTTGTAAAGGTTGTTTGCTAAAATTACTCAATGCGTTTTTTTTGTCGCACCATTTTTTTCAAAAAAATCTCCTTTACATAATTCAATTTTTCAATTTTTTTAATTACATATTACGGGTTTTTCATAAAACATTCTAAATCATATATAAAATAATTTATAGAGCAACTTGTGTTTTGCTGAAAAAATGACTAAAAACGGTTTTTTGCGGCGCTGTTTTTTTATAAAAAATTATCTTATATTTACATAAATGCAATCGCAGAACAATTTGTAATAATTTTTTTGATAAAATCACTTAAAGCTGGTTTTTTACCGCTCGTTTTTTTTATAAAAAAATAATCTAATCTATACATCCTTAATTTCAGATTTCGAGAAAATATCTCGAGACGATTATTTTATCGCACGGTTTTTCCACAAGGTTTCTTTACCGCACGGTTTTTTTACCGCACGGCTTTTTTACCGCACGGTTTTTTTACCGCACCTTTTTTTTACCGCACAGTTTTTTACTGCACGGGTTTTTTCAGGCACGGTTTTTTTACCGCACGGTTTTTTACCGCACAGTTTTATACTGAACGGATTTTTTACAGTGCGATTTTGTACCGCACGGTTTTTTTTTTCACTGGGGTTTTTTACCGTACGATATTTTTACCGCTCGGATTTATTAATAAAAAAAATTCGAAACGCTTTTGGGATAACTCATTCTATCGAAATAAGTACAGAGTATAAGTCAGATTTTCTTGATTTCGGGTTTTTTTTACTATGGTTCTTGTTTATCATCTAAATATATGCCATAAGAGTTCAAGTCAATGCTGAGTATTTTTTACTAACGGTCTAGCATTGAACCTTTCAGTACAAATCAAGTTCCATATTATCTGGTTTGTATAAGGAGTATAAGTCAAGTTATACTGTTAGGACCCATGTTTCTCACTGTTGGTTAGATAGCAGACCGCTGACTTGTACTATTGAGACTTTTTTTATGTTAGCAGTCTTGCCTTGTCACTCTTAGGCATGTGAGCTCTACTTATTTAGTTTGAATTTTTTCTCACCTAAAGTTTAAGTAGGTAATAGTGTTTCCAGTGAATTGTTGTATTATTATTTTTCGTGGTTAAGAGCAGGCAAGATGAGGCAAAAAAAAATGGTGGATATATGCAATAACATAAACAATACTGAAACTGAAAGTAAGTAGATTGTTTTTTTACTACCTAAAACATTTTGTAAAATACTTCCAAAATCAAGTTTTGATAACTCATTTAACAAATAAACTTTTATTTTATTTTCAGATAAAAAGCAAACAGAAGCTGATGTAAATTGTGTAGAGCATAATGTCAGTATTACTTATGGGTTTACTGAGAATGTTATTGTCGATGATCATGCAGGTGAGTTAGTAAATAAGGGATTAATACATTTCAAAAGTATTTTTTATTTTTCTTGCGAAAACAAAAGTGAAATGAAAATTAGTCTGAGTTCAAAATATTTTGTTTTTCAAGAACAACCATGGTCCAAAATGAAAAAGACTTCTTGGGGAATCTTTACCTGTCAACGACTGGGGATATTATTCAATTAATTTTTTGCAATGATGATGAGGCTGGTCCAAGTAACATTTCGGGACAGCAAAAAATTTACCTTGGTAAGACTTGATTTTCTGATAATTTTCTAGCCACAGAAGCCCAAAATAATATGTAGCTTAAAACGTGAAACTGTATATTTTCCACATTTGGACCATCAACAGAGTACTGTCTATGATGAAGACCAACACACTCAACTAGTACAAGACATGGAAATAGCTGAAAGTTTTGGCCAAGAAACTGACGAAGGTAAGCATTTATTTTTATAGATAATTGAGGCTCAAAAAATGTAACAAGTATCATAACTGTCTATTTTTTTCAGATTATAACCCTAAACAGGAGAGTATTTCCTCTGATGAAGAAGTTTTCCTTCAAACACGAAGTTCTAGCTCTAAAATACGAAATAGAACGAAGGAACCACATTTAGAACAAAATGTAATCCAAGCTACACCTATACCTATACTGACAGAAAAAAGTAAAACCGGCAAGGGCAATGATACCTTTGACAGTTTGCCGCGCCAAGTGCATGGAACGTATTCCCCCTGAGATCCAGGAAGTTATTTTTAAAGAATATTGGAGCCTGAAAAATTTAGACAGTACACCAACACATTTTATTTTAAAATTAATGGGAAACTGTCTAAGGTTTGCCGAGGTTGCTTTCAGAAAACTTTAGGGGAAACAAACATGTTCTTGACAATTGCTATTGCGTCTGCCCAAAGATCAACCACAGGTATTTTGGAACCCAGTAAGAGGTAAAAACTCGCCTGCTAATAAACTTTTAGACAACACCATTCGAGCAGCAATTCATAATCACATAAAATCCTTCTCCGCCTATAAATTCCACTATACCCACTAAAAAATATTTACCTGATTACCTAAACTTGACAAAAATGTATGCATTTTATGTGGAACAAGTTACAAACCCTGCCTCTAAATCAATTTATGAGCGTGAGTTTAAAACACTTCATTCAAAGGACCAAAAGCAGGTACTTGTCACAAGTGTGATGTACTTTCTATGAAAGAAAGAGTTGCAAAGTCAGAAGATGAGTTAAAGTCTATACAAAATGAGAAAACTAAACATCAAGATGAGGCAGATTTGGTATATACTAAAAAGCGAGAGGACAAACAACGTGCTAAGGAGGACAACACCATTAAATGTTACGCATTTGACCTCCAACAATGCCTGCCAACACCCTACTTAAATACGTCGGTGGCATTCTATAAACGCCAACTGTGGGCGTTCAACCTAACGTTCCATGAAAGGACAACAGGGGATGTAACTTGCTTCATGTGGCATGAGGCCAAAGGTGGAAGAGGAGCCAACCAAATCGCCACATGTATTTTTAAACAACTGTCAAGTTTGCCACAACAAATCAAAAAAGTCATTTTATATTCAGATTCATGTGGGGGCCAAAACAGAAATTCACATGTCTCAGCAATGTTCTTAACGCTTTTGCAGCAATGTCCTCTGCTGGAGCAAATAGACCACAAGTTTATAGTCAGTGGTCATAGCCACCTTGAATGTGATGTTGATCATGGGATGATAGAGAAACAAAAAAAACATCTACAGATGTAAATTTCAGTTCCCCACGATTGGTAACAGTTAGTACGAGCTACTAGAAAAAAGAAAAAGTTTCAAGTGGTGGAATTAAACCACAAAGATTTCGTAAACTATTCCGACCTATATAAAAGCCATCTTAAACTAAAACAAAAAGATAGCAATGGTAACTCCTTCAAGTGAACAGAGCTGCGGTGGCTAAGGTACCGTCAAGGATTTCCAAAAACTATTTTTTTCAAGTCTTCACTAGACGAAAGGAAAGAATTTCGATGTATAAATTCAGAAGGAAGGATATCACAAGATAAACCCTTAAATCCGCTACCTTGCTATACATCTTCATTAGTAGTTTCTAATGAAAAAAAGAAAGATATCTTTGCTCTTCTGGATTTATTAAGTCCAGACTTTCACGATTTTTATAAAAATCTGAAAACTACTAACAATGCTAAAAACACATTGCCCGACCTAGTGGAAGAAGAAGATAAAGAGCTAGAATAAAATTTTGTTTTCGAATTTCAGCTTAAAGTAACTATCTCCTATAATTTTTGTTCATATTTTTAATAAAAAATAATTCAAACTTGTTTATTTTTATATAAAAAAATGTAGTTAATAAGTAGATAGACTATGAAAATCAAACGAATTAAAGATGTTTCGTGGCAATCACTTTCCTTAAAAATAGCATAACCCTGTAGGGTGTTCCTTATGAATTAACAATGTTGTCCTATATCTGAACATCGTACTAATAAAAAATTTTGGAGAGCCTAATTTTAAAAATATCTTAAAAGTCAACGTTTAGATATCATTCGATGTGAACAATGCACTTGGTCCGCTGTACTCCCCGTCGGGGCTCGAGTAAAACAGTGGCAGCTACTTGTTCTAACTAATATAAAACAGTAAGTCGGGACTGTGACAAATACTTACCACGGAACGCATAAATCCACGGGACAGATGGATACCGGAGATAAAGCACGCCAGCGCCGCAGGTGGCGAAATTCTTAACATCCTCAGCTCCAGTTACAACGGGAACGCGATCCGTGAGCTAAAATGGAAGAAGCAGGAAAAATGTTAAAAAGATAGACAACAAAAATAAACACATTTTGGAGTGTACGCCTCAAAATCTTTAAGATGCGATAAATAAAACACGTTCTACTTTTAGACTGTTTTTGTCAGAAACGTTGATTTTTGTGATTTTCTTCAAAAGCCCATATCTACGCTATTCTTAAAAGTAGCTCAACAAACCCATAGGGAATCTACTTACATGAGGTTTGTTCGGGTTTCTTTAAAATTTGATGCAGATCGTCTGAGATCCAGTTGAATAGCTGAATAGCAAATTATTCGTCGCGTACAACTTTTAAATTGTTCACTGGTCAACTAGTTCTCTGATGGTTCTCAAAGTATTTGTGAAAAATCCGAACAAGCATAATGAGACCTACAACATGATATTGATCGGTTAAAAGTTGGAACTAATCGATATATGGTGGTAAAAAAATTTATTTAAGAAATTCTCTTTAAAATCGATTATTTAATTAATGTGTCATTAAAATAACAATTATGTTTGAAAAGTCAAAATAATCGGTTTATAAAAAATTATCGATTAGTCGAAAATAATCGATTAATCGGAAATTATCGATCAATCGAAAATAATCGATTAATAGAAAATAATCGAATAATGGAAAATAATAAATTAATTGATCATTCTAAAAAAATAAATTGAATATTTTCGAATAGATATAATCCGCAAGAAAATATATTTTTTTACACCCACATGGATATTAGCTTATCTATACATATTACAAAACGAACAAGTATGTCATTGCCTTCAACTGGACGAATATATTTCATATCCATTCTAGGTGAGTGAGAACAATCAAAAAAGTTAAATTAACCAATCACCGTTCATATTTTGATCAGCAGACTGCTATTATTTTTAAAATTTTAAATTAGAGACAATTCTGTCAAACTAATTGTCAGTATTTTGTTAGTTATTGAGATTAAACATACATTAAAATGGGTTATTCTAGTGTAGAATCGATAAATAATAGCATTTCTGTTTTTATTTCGTCTATAATTATAAATAAGTTTAAGTCAATTTAATTACAAGTATTAAAGCAAAAAAATAAAAGTATAGGTGGTCCTGTGGTTAGAGTTCTTGCCTTCCACACGGAAGACTCGAGTTCGACTCTCAGATGGAGAAAAATGAAATGAACTTTTTCTTTTTTTTTGTTTATTTTATTTTAAAAATTATTAAGTCATAAATTATTTTAAAATTAGTTATTTTGTCTTAATAAACTAAAATATTTTTTGTATTTGTAAATTTTCGTAAGTGGGTCGTAAAAAAATATACTGTACAACTCGAGTGGATTGTCCACATCGCACTCAGACGATTGAGCACTCCGCCTTTCGTCTTCGTGCGATATGGTCATCATATCCACTCTTGTTGCACAAACTACTATTGTATACCTATGTATTTTCTTCAATACTTTTTATTTCTAAACTGAATACTAATACTTTCAAATCTCGTCATTTTTTATACAGACTAAATATTAATGTGTTTTTTTACAAAACTATTCAAATGCAAGTCTCTCAATCGAGCAAAGGTCATAAAGAAAATTCTTGGAACATATAACGCTGAATTGGTATTGTTCCCGGTTATGCCTGGGTAAAAACCGTAATCATGCTTTTCGATTTTCAGAATTGTTTGGAAATCTATTAATATTATTTCGTATAAAAAAGAATTATTCCAATATAGGTGGGCGGCTCAGAAATCTATTAAACGAATTAAAAGTGAGTGAATCTTCTGATTTTCGAAACTTTCTACGCATGAATGATGTAACATTTGGCGAATTGTTAAAAATGATCACACCATACCTGAAATATAAAAATATAAAAAATGAATACTACTATGAGAGATGCTATTCCTGCTAGTCATTTCGTTGAAATACCATAATGTTGGCTCTACTACGTCACTGGTACCTGCTCCACTACGTTCGGAACTATTTATTTTTTCAGTTCTTTCCTGAAGTTAGTTCGTAACGAATTCATCCTACTTATCAATTGTTTTCTATCAGCATCTGGATATTTCTCCTTATATTGCCGCAACAACTCGTCATATTGTCCAATTTTTTTAATTCCTGTTGCTATATTCTTTGCTTTTTGTATTCCATAAACCTGGCAATGACTGGTACACTTTGATAACTTCTAAAATAAATTGTCTTTCTTCCTCCTTTGCTTTAGAACTCATGTTTGTTATGGATACAAACTCGCTCAGTGAGAACAAGAACAAAACTAAACATAAAAAATGCGCAATATTATCCAAACACTATGCAAACTATTCACTATTGCACAATAAAAATCAAACTGATTTTGATTGACACAATATATTGTGCAACCTTTCAATATAAACCATAAATGGTCTATTATTGCACAATATGAAACATTGCGCAATAATATTGACCGTTTATGGGCCGCTTTAGACGAGTATTAGTAGCGCAAGATCGAATTATACATCTAGGCATTACGCACTTTATAAAGTTTTTAACCCTCAAAAATCGTTCAAACACAAATAAAAATTAAATTTTATTACAAAAATGACACTAGAAAGATAACCTATAAAATTGACAAATTGCAATAGTGGGGGACAGATCCCACTTTGCGCTTACACTTGTGTCGTATCCCCAGTGTAAGACTATAAGGATTATGTAAAAACTAGTGCAATCTATGACTCAGATTTTCGCTACTAAATGCTGTCTATGAATCACACAGTGAATGACCAGTACATCAGGCAGTTGTCGCTTTAAGTGAGCTATAAAACCACGATAACGACCAACCATAGATGGTGCACCATCAGTCGCAATAGAAACAATGTTCTTCCATGGAATAGTTTTGTATGTAAAAAAACGTTTACAGTTTGAAAAATCGATTCTTCTCTGGTATCAGTCTCTTAATATGTAGCAAAAAGCAGTTCTTTGCACATATTTTCATCTTTAATATACCGAACATATCCTAACAACAAAGCTTCATTGCTGAGTAATGTAGACTCGTCCAACTGGAGAGAGAATCTGTTGGTCTATAAAAACTGACATAAAATGTTTTCCACGTCTCGACCTATTCATCTCTGAACGGTGTTATTGCACAAAGGAATTTTCTTTATAATATCATGTGCGGGCTTATGCAATACATTGTTAAGGACCTCTGCAATGGCTGGTAAATAAGCTGCTTTCCAATTGTGTCGGGTTTTCCAGACTTCTCTATTACTAAAGATATATTATTATAGAACGCTCGTAAACCATCAACGTCTTGCATAGATGATGACGCAAACATCGATCTTATGGATGGCACATACTCTAGTTTTTCTTTAAGTACTTTAAAGAATGACAAGGGCTTAGTTTTTTAGTCAGCATGTTCTCTTGATGAGTGGTCTTCCATCTTTGAAGGCTTCATAGCATCGTTACCGAATACGTTTTCACATATGAGACACATTGGCAAGTGTTGATTTGATAGAGATGGAATAAATTCAAAATTCAAAAAGTCCAAACTGTATTGTCTGCATTTTTTTATGTCTATCATCATAAAACTCGCAGTAAACCTGCAAATAAAAAAAAATATGTTTAAGAAACTACTTAAAAAAACAATAATAAAATTGTTAAATTTGCACACGAGGTTATTTTTGTCACACCTAGGCACTGTATGTTTTTTAGGTATGCTTACGAATTTACTCATTGTGGTATAGAAAATTTGTATTAGGTACCAATCAGCGTAATAAACGAAAACCAAGAAAACGGAACGTTTATAATTTTAGGTAAAAATTTTTATCTACAACCACCATAGTAAATCGTCTATTGTGTATCGTTTTGATTATTAGTAAATACATCATTAGAGATACTGTTACGTAATGAAATCCCAAAACTTTTACGTAATTATATATATTACATAACAGTTTTATTTATCAAACTATCCATATTACTCCGTCGCTAGGTCATTGCTATGATTACGATAAATAGTTTTGACATTTCAGAAACAGAAAGTACAACACTGATACTTATACAACTTATACAATATCTTGAAAATTTCAAATAAGAACTTGTGTTAATTAATAGGGGTCGATTTTTAGACCTCCTCGACCCCCAAACATAAGTTTTCGTTTGTGTCGACCCCTGGAAAACCGATTTCGACCTCAAGGGGTCGGCATCGACAACTTTAGACTCTAACTCTAGACTATCACTCAGAAACTATCCATCAGGAAGAACACAGAAAGTATTACATAATGGTGTATCGTCTAGCGCAGAGCAAGTTGGACGAGGAGTAGCCCAAGGTTCAATCCTAGGCCCTCTTTTTTATACAATATATACAAGCAATTTGTGTTTTGTTTTACAATATTGCAAAACTCATATGTATGCTGACGATACGCAGTTATATATGTTTTATAACGAAAACAATGAATCAGAATGCATTCAGAAAATATTTACTGATCTAAGTGCCTTGCTGAAAGTATCTACTCAACATAATTTGGTAATTAATTCAAACAAATCAGTTGTTATATTTTTTGGATCTGCTCCTTCTAACGTGTCTATGAAAATTAACGCTGTGGCTCTACCAACTGTTAAAAAAGCAAAAAATTTGGGGTAATGCTAGACAATCGACTGAAATTCACTGATCATGTGTCTTATGTTGTACAAAAATCCTTTTTTAAACTAAAAACTTTATATCATAGCAAGCATTTATTTGACAAAAAAACTAAAGATAAAAAGTTGTAATTCTGCACAGACGATTTTATTTAGAACTAAATACGACCCTGCTTAAACTACTATTTAAGCCACGCCCAGTTGGGTCATTTTTAATAACACTTATCTTATGGGAAACAATTGCCTGATGGCATCTCCATTATTATTATACCTCCATAGTTGTCCTATAATAGGTACGTACCTGATACACACAAGGTTTAAATAAACACAATTAAAACTGTCTTATGGGAATTTATAATGCATTTAAAGTTTGTTTGGAAAGGTTGTACGACCCACCTTACTTTGTGACGTCACGCCT